GCTGGACCTGCTGCCTGAAAGAGTCAAGAGTTTGTGCTGGAGGTTGGCCCAGAAAGCCAGCATTTTAAAACGCTGTGGCTTTTTTTCTGCTATGGCTGAAAAACAAAAAGCATGTGGTCAGCTTTTCATCAACACCATTGAAGTGTTTTGTGGCAGGATCCCTTAAAAGAGCTGCAAGGTTTTATAGCTAAAGCTGAATCAGGAAGCCTCTCTTAAATGGGAGCACTTGCCTATAGCAAGCAGAGCCCACCCGAGAGAGTGCTGCTGTCAATAAGCTGTGCTTAACTCTATTATTTTATTTATTATTTCCCAAGCTCTGTTAGGCTTTATGTGGATCAGTTGTCCATGTAGGCGCCATTTGTTGTCTGAGGTTTTTCTGTCCTGCCCAGTTCCCACAATTGTTAAATCCCAAAGAAATCACACAGAGGTCTACATTAGTTATAAACTAATTGGCCCATTAGCTCAGGCTTCTTATTAACTCTTATAACTTATATTAGCCCATTATTCTTGCCTATGTTAGCCACGTGGCTTGGTACCTTATTGGGCGAGGCAGTCACATCTTGCTTCTTCTGTGGCTGGGTCAGACTGCAGAATAGGACTTCCTTCTTCCCAGAATTCTCCTGTTCTTATTGACCCACCTCTACTTCCTATCTGGTTGTCCTGCCTATACTTCCTGCCTGGCTACTGGCCAATCAGCGTTTACTTAAAATATAATTGACAGAATACAGACCATTGTCCCACACCAATTTACAGTATAGGTATTTCAATAGTACTGATTTTTTTTCCAGTTTATGCATTAGAGAATGTTGTTCCATTTTGTCTGGGTGTGTCCTCTATAATGTCCCTTATAATGTTTTATAATTTTTATTGTAGAGATCTTTTATTTCCTTGGTAAACATTTTACATGGACATTGTGAATGAGATAGTTTTCTTTTTAAAAATTTTATTTATCTTTTATGTGCATTGATGTTTTGCCATGGGTGTTGGGTCCTCTGGAACTGAAGTTATAGACAGTTGTGAGCTACCATGTGGGTGCTGGGAATTGAACCCAAGTCCCTCTGGAAGATCAGTCAGTGCTCTTAACCATTAAGCCATCTCTCCAGCCCCAAGATCATTTTCTTAATTTCTCTTTATGAGGTTCATTATTTGTACATAAACTATTACTGTTTTTATATTTTCCAGCTTTGTGAAGTACTTTTCTAAGTCCAGTGTTTTTTGATTGTTTTTATGGTAGAATCATGTCATCTGCAACCTCAGATAGTTAAACTTCTTCTTTTCCAATTTGGATGACATGCGTTTCTCTTGATTAATTGCTCTTGTTAAAACTTCCAATACTTTATTAAATAAGGGTGGTGAGAGAGGACATCCTTTCCATATCCCATATCAGAGAGGAAAGGCTTTCCACTTTCCCCAGTCAGTCTAACATTCTCTCTCTCTCTCTCTCTCTCTCTCTCTCTCTCTCTCTCTCTCTCTCTCTCTCTGTGTGTGTGTGTGTATGTATGTGTGTAGTGATGTTGAATCCTATCAAATGCGTTTTTCTGTGTTTGTTGAAATGGTTGTATTTTTTAAAATAATTTATTTAGATTCATTTTATGTGCATTGGTGTGAGGGTGTCAGATCCCCTGGAACTGGAGTGATAGACAGTTATGAGCTGCCATGTGGGTGCTGGGAATTGAACCCAGGTCCTCTGGAAGAGCAGTCAGTGCTCTTAACCACTGAGCCATCTGTCCAGCCCCAGAAATGGTTGTATTTTTGAAGCATTCTCCCTTCACCCTACAGATGTGTTGCATTTACTGTGTGTTTCTGCTGATGCATCTGCATTCCCAGGGGACAGCTCCTACCTGTCCTTGGTGTATGGTCTTTTTTGATATGCTATTATTATATTCAGTTTGATAGCATCTGATTGAAAATTTTGATGATGTTAATTAAAGGTATGGATCTGTAGTTTGTTTTGTGTTTGTCTGGTTTAGTGTGAGTTATGCTGGCCACATGAAGAAAGTTTGGTATAGTTCTTTCCATTCCAATGTTTTTGTTAGTTTTAATATTTTTAGCTTTTTTCTTCTTTAGATAGTGTCTCAGTATGTAGCTCTAGCTGACCTGGAGCTCACAATGTAAATTAGCCTGGCCTTGAACTCACAGAGAGCCACTTGCCTCTTTTTCTCAAATGTTGGTACTAAAGTGTGCCATCACACCCAGCCTTGCATTTTTGTTGTTACTCCTTTCTTCTCTTTTATTGTTCATTTATTATATATGTTCCCTTTGCTTTTATTTTGTACTGGTTCATCTAGTAAGATGTGTGCATGTGTGTGTATGCGTGTGCAGGTGCGTGTATGTGCGCACGTGCTGTTATATAATAACTATATGATAGTTATTATAGTTATTTTACTTTTATTTATAATGATTAACTTTTTTAAAAATTTAGTGTGGGTTTGGGAAGAAGCATGTGGAGACCAAAGGATAACACTTAGGAGTCACTGGTCCCCCTTCCCAGTGCTGAGGCAGTCAGTGTCTCCCTTGTTTCTGCTCTGCAAACTAGTCCCTCCCACGCTCCCAGCCTCAGAGCTTCTCCAGTCTGCCCCTCCCACCTTGCTTTAGGAGCACTGGGACCACAGGGCTGGACCAGACAGTATAAAATAGACTGACCATAAACCCACTGAGTCACCTCTCAGTCCCTTTCTTGGTTATCTTTAGGAATTTATTGATTTCTTCCATTTTTTTTTGTTTGTCTTTTCCTCAGTTTCTTCAGTGGATTTGTTCATATCCTCTTTAAAGACCTCTACCATCTTCATAAAGTAATTTTTAAGGTCATTTTCTTGTGCTTCAGCCCTGTTGGATTGTTCAGGTCATGCCATTGTGAGATAGCTGGGCTCTGGTGGTGCCAGATTGCCTTTTCTGTCATTGATCATGTTTTTACACTGGTGTTTAGGCATCCAGATTTGGGATAATTTTAGGTCTAGGTGTTGATCCCTGTGTTTGTCTTTGTTAGATGGATGTTTTGTTCCTTGGTTGCTCTTTTCTCTTTGGTCTCCTGGCCTAAATGGCCAAGAGCTCTGGTGACTAGAATGTCTTCAGGTTCAGTAGGATGTCCCCTCTGGGATTTGAGGGGCTATGGGTTCCTGGATCTGGCCTGAAGTCCTCTTCCAAAGTTGTAGACTAGGATACAGAGCCCAGTGGAAGGGTGCAGACTGGGGTTCCTAGATCTGGTCTGGCATCTGGGGTCCCTAGAACTATCCTGTCTCCAGTGCTGTGGTCCCTAGATCTGACCCTTGCTCCAGTAAAGCTGAATTCTTAAGTCGTAGGCCTGGGATCTCTAGATCCCACCTGGCCTCTGGTAAAGCTGAAGTCTTTTTCTGAAGTTGTAGACCGGGGTATAGAGCTGGGGGTGAGGGCTTAGAGGAAGTGGGCATGTGTGCAGTCTGGGGTTATTAGATAAGTTTTAAGGAGTGTTAACTGGTAGTGGGCAGTGTCTTACCAGGGGTTCCTTGATCTTGCTTGGCCTCTGGTAAAGCCAAAGACTTCTTCCAAGTAATAGGCTAGGATATGGGGACCAGGAGTTGGGGTGCAGTGGGGAATTTTTGGACAGGCTTAAAGATGTTTAGTGGAAGGTGGGTGGTGTCTTCCCTGGGATCTCTAGGACGGCTCTGGCCTCCAGTACAGCTGGAGAGGGGGGCTGTGGGCCCTATAGTGTGGAGCCAAGTGGAGGGGGTGCCTTATTTTTTAAATCTAAGAATCATTGTAATAGTTTTTATAAACTCTTTTAAGGACTTTTTTTTTGCTTTGTTTTTAATTTATTTTTAAAATTATGTGTGTGGGGGGTAGGAGCACTCATGTGTGGGGGTATATGGACATGTGGGGGGTAGTGCATGTGCCTGTGTGGGTATATGCACATGAGAGTATATGGGGGCATATGCAGATTAGTGGGGGTATGTATACATGTGTGTGTACACATGTGTGGGGGGATATGTGCACACATGTATGTGGTGTATGTACATGCTTGTGGGGGAGTATGTGCACATGTGTGGGGGGTATGTGCACATGTGGGGGGTTATGTGCACGTTTGTGTGGGGTATGTGCACATGTGTGTGGGTTCTGTGTACGTGTGTGTGTGGTATGTGCACATGTGAGGGGGTATGTGCACATGTGTGTGTGGAGTATGTGCACATCGTGTGAATATGTGCACATGAGTGTAGGTGCCCTGGAAGGCCAAAGGCATCAGATCTCTGGAGCTAGAATCACAGGCAGTTGTGAACCACCTGGCAGAGATGCTGGAACTGAACTTGGGTCCTTTTGTGTGCACATGCTTGTAACTGCTGAGACATCTCTCTAGTCCCAGTAATTATTTCTGTTTGAAGAACCTTTGTCTAAGCAAGGTTGAGCTGATGATGCTGTTGTTCCTAGTACAACTGGATAACTAATAGATCACTTTTATGTCCTTTTGCTGTTCTCTTATGCTTTGCTTTTCACACGAGGTTAAAGGGTTGCCACTTCGGAGACGGGAGGACTTTTCATAGTGAGGACTGTTTGGAAACGCAAGTTCCCCAGTGGAAAGTCCCAGCTCAGCTGGTGTTTGTTGCCTGCAGGGAAGACCATCCCAGGCCAGGAACTTGTTCCTGCGTAAGTCAGTTTGCATCAGGAGACTTGATTAGTGCTAACGCAGTCCCCGTGTTTCACATACGTATTAGACTTTGGTGGGTAATGGAGCAGGAAACCCATCTGCCCTGGAGCAGGAGACGTGGCTGCTTCTTTATTATCTTTTTAATAGCCACTTACCTCAGACTCAAAAAAAGAAATTTCTGACATCTTAATTTTAATGTGGCCATTTGACCCAGTGCTTGAGATAAATATAACCCTGTGTAGTACGGAGAAGGTTTAATGGGAAATGGTTGGCATTCTTTCTTGATAAAGGCATGGGGAGAGGAGAGGGAGGAGGCAGGGAGGGAGGCAAGGGGAGAAAGGGAGAGAGAGAGAGAGAGAGAGAGAGAGAGAGAGAGAGAGAGAGAGAGAGAGAGAGGCGCAAAGGCAAACAGCAGTCCAGTCAAAGAGGAGCTAGGAGAGCTCCCGTAGCCTTGCCCACTAACTTGATATTTAGCAGAGCTGGCCAGCATGGTTGTCCTGACTCCAATGACTTTGGGAATTTATCTCCAACTCTTTTTCCGCTCCATCGTGTCTCAGCCGGCTTCCATCAACAGTGTCCGTCCAGTCTCAGCAGGTAACTGATGACCACGACTCTCCTTGCTTCCATCTGGCACAGACAGGAAATGGGGGGAGTGGGTGGGGGTGGTCAAGAGTGTCTAGCAATATGTCCTGACATTTTTGACATTCTGCTCTTAGCAGAAGAAGGCTCGGGGGAGATGGTCACCCAGCTTCTGTCCTGTCTTCCTGGTTACCCGAGCTTGTCTCCAAAGGCCCTTCTGTCCTTGCTCCAACTGCTGCTGCTCAGCTGCTTAAGGCCAGCTGTAAATCACTGCTTCTGCGTTCCTCGTTCTCCTGCCCATTTGCTGTGTGATTTGTTTTGCTCAGGAAATTGGAAACTAGGGAGAGAAAAGTACAATTTCTAGAGATATGAGTCCCAGGTGTTTCCAAAAGTCTATCTCTGACCTCCTCCCAGTGGGGCTTACCACAAGATGCCGGAGAGCAAGCATCTCTCTGACAACCTTGGTGAAGGGCAGGGCTTCTGCCTGGCCCCTGTCAGCAGGGACTCCCTTGCTGCCTCAGGGCTAGGCTTTCTGTCTCTCCAGCCCTGCTGCTCTCCTGGTGGGCTCCTCTTTTCAGAGGTCCTAGGAGGGTGAGGGCTTCTAGAGACTCTGGACCTGGAGCTGGGTGGTGAGTCTTGCGGAGTACAGGGCTGAGGAAGGGGCTTGCTTGGTCAGCCAGCCTGGTAACCTTTGCTGTAGGCACCCAGCTGTTGTCTTCGCCCTGCCTGACCTGGTTCAGAAGTATTGGGTTACTGACATAGCCTTTTCAAACCTTTCTGAGGAAATTTGGCTTATCTCCAGAAGGCCTGAGGCTTGCTGCTTGTCTCCTCACAGCCCCTCATTTACCTCGACCACTGCTCCAAGCCACCTTTAGTCAGGTCTCATCTTCTAAGCGCCACAGTTGAATCTGTGTCCTTGCCTGTGAAAGGCCAGGCGAGCATCCCTCTGGACCCACCCCCAGCCTTTCTCCATTCATAAAAACAGCCCATGGGCCAGCTGTGCTGCCAAACGCTGCAGGCCCGAAGAGAGTGTCAGGGAGATTGCTGTGAGGCTAATTTTAAAAGTGTGTGAAATAGAAGAAGTGGGAACTAGAAGAGATGACCTAAGGGAGTTCTGGGAAGGAGGGGCAGAAAAAGCCGGAGGAGGCTGTGTCGCCAGAGTGTGTCGGCATGTCTCTCCCAAGTTCATCTGGTCTGTGGAGCAGCATTTTCTCATCCACTGAGAAGCTTGGTAGCCGGGTGTGGAGATACCCGATGACTGCACTTGAGAAGCTGCAGCAGAGGGATAGTGTGTCCAAGATCGGCCTGGGTTACAGAGCAAGATCCTGTTTCCAGAATCCCAAGAGGACTTGGTAGCTAACTCGGTTGGACCTAGTGTTTGTTTCTTTGTTATATTTGGGTTATAGATTTCTTTGAGAATCTGCTGAGGGCTTAGGAATTAAGGATACTAGCTTCTCTGGTTCCAGTCCACCTCTTAGGAGCTGTCTGCCTGCTGGGAGACATTGGGTAGAGATGGTAAGCACAGTGGGGGCGGGTGTAGTGTGATTTGTGCATCCGTAATTATACATATTTCCAGGGTGAGGATGCCGCCAGGTCTGAGAATGCTCAGAAACCACTTGTTGAGTGAAGAACCAACAACTCCCCATCTGTAGGCTGGGGGGGGGGGGCATCCATGTTTTGAATCATTTAATTTATGTAAAACCAAGTTTATCAAGACCTTCATAAAGCTAGGCAGAAAAGGTCCTATAGTTTCTTAGAACTGCTCACTTAGGCGAGAACCTACACAGTGTAGACATCACTCAAAGAAGTGTTCTGAAGGTTGTCCTGGTCAGGACTCAACAGTGACAAGTTGCAGCTTAGATGATTCAAACAAAGAAACAAACACACACCTTGAGTGCAGGGCTCTCTTTCAGGGAAGTCTGGTCGAGGATACCTGGCGTGTCGAGAGACACAGGGATCTGTGACTGTGCTTGAGAAGGCAAGAGAAGGAACAGAGGAGATGGAGCCCAGGAGCCTTGAAGCCTCGAAGGAGGGGCTGCCACACATAAGTGGGGAACCAGAGCAGGGAGGAGCCGAGTCTCCCACCTTTCTCTCCTCCCACCCAACCACCTCTTGACAAAGCCTACCATTGTCCAAACCCCACCTGAAGCAGAGGCCTAAGAGCAGAGTTCTTTGACGCAGACAGTGGGATCAACGTGTGGGGTACAGGGGCCGAGGCTTCAGCAAGGCAAACAAACATGGGCTTACCTGCCCACTGTGTTTAGGCTGATTTGCCCTGCACTTTCTTTTTTCTCCTCCTTTCCTTTTCCCTCTTTCCCCATCTTCTTTACTTTTTTTCCCCTTTTCATGGTGCTAGGACTTGAACCCAGGGCCTTGAGCAAGCCGTGCAATCTCTTTACCACTGAGCTTCATCCCTGACCCCGCACACCCTTAAGATGCCTTGCTAACCCTGGAGCTTGTGATTGGGAATGTAGGTTTCAGGCATTTGGTCAAACAATTAGGTCAACCAGAGGCAGCGTTACCAGTCTAGCACAAGTATCTGCTGTCCCCTGCAGGGGTCACTTCACTTTGTTCCCCTCCTTTAGTTGCCATGACTTACCAAAGCACCGTCCTGAAACTAATTCAGGTCTTGCAATGTTACATGTTCCCTGAGTCAGGCCGACAGGAGACCTTGCAAATCACCACTTACAATCTGACTGGATCTGACATCCTCTCTCCTGACTTCGTACATTCTCTCTGTTCTGAAGAATGGAAGCTGGGCGGACGCTGAAGTGAGAGCCGCCAGGAAAAGCGTTTCTCTCGGCCGCGGCCACTCTGCCTTAGGAGATTCTGCTGTGTGCTAACTGTGTAAAGTGTCTCAGGGTTTCTCAGAGGCTGGTAGGAAGCAGCCTGTGTTCTAGGGGCTGTGTGGGAGCACTGGCTCTGAGTTCTCCAGGACTGTGGTGGAGGAAGGTCTCATGCAGGAAGCGCTCCCCCTTGTGTTGGGGGCACCCTTCCTTCTCTTCAGGAAGGACCCTACTCCTGAACCACACTAGCCCCAACTCTCTGAATCAGGTGTGCATTACCCGACAGCCTCCACTGGGCCTCAGAGGAGAACTAAGCGTGGAGGAGAAGACATCAAAGAGACCAAAGTTGTGATGTCATCCCAACACTTACATGTCAGGGGTTTGACCCACTACTATCTCCGGTTCTTGTCACAGTCCGCTAACCTTTGAGCATCGCTCATCCAGGCTCATGCTGCCTAAGGCAGATTCCAGGGCGACAACAACAGGCAGATGATAGAGTTGTGCCTTTTCATTGACTGAAGTGTGATGGTCAGGGGTGCACATATTCGGAGGACAACTTGCAGGAGTTGGTTCTTTCCTTCCCCTAAGGTCCAGGATGGAACTTAGCTCTTCAGGCTTAATGCCGAGTGCCTTTACCTCCAAATCATCTTGCTAGTCTGAAAGGTAGATGGCAAGTCTGATTACAGTAGGCTGAGTGTGATTGTGCATGCCCGTGATCTCAGCACTCTGGTGACCCGAGACAGCAGACGCTCAAGTTCAAGGCTACTTGGGCTAAGTAGCAGAGAGGGAAAGAAAACTGGTAAAGAACTAGGGGATGATGTTGAAAACCACAGAGTGGTTGAGGGAAGGGGATATACGAGCCCTGGGGATGACACTGACTGCATGGCTTTTATCTCGGAGGTGGCGGAGGGTCCGGAGAACTCAGAAGGACTGTGTTCCCTCTATTATGCCTCCTTCCAAAAAGGCAGGCAAGTGACAAACACAGCTCAGAACCATGTCTGTTACAAATACCAGGAATCTAGAGTGTATTGCCTTAGCCATTTGCTGGGTAATAAGCTACCATCTGAAGCTTAAAACTAGAATTGTTGATTACTGAAGTTCATGTTTCGTGGGTCACCCAGGGGTCATCTCATCTGGTGTGGTTTTGGCTAACCCTGGGCTCTGTCTGGGTGTATAGACTGACTTGGCACTAGTGTCCATGTGTAGGTAGAGCTCAAAGGCTGTGGTTTTACAGAAGGATAAGGCGTAGGTCTAAAAGTAATATTTCCAGAGGAGCAGACCACCCATAAGATGTGTGGAGCAGTGCTCTTCCTTCTCTGAAGAAGAAGCACAGAGAAGCTAACTAAACAATGTACCCTAGACCACACAGCTGGGCTGGAGGAGATCTGGAGTCTGGAATCCTGCCCCTAAGTCAATGTAGGCCAAGTCTGCTTCTGCCGGATTAAATCTGCCAGTGGCTTATTCAGTGCTGCAAGGCCTCCTCCCCTCACCATCCACCCTCCATGGAAACTCGTCATTGTCCACTCCCTCCCATCTTGTCCTCAGGTTGTCACTGCCCAACATTCTAAGGGTTGAATATTGGTTTTGGTTGTTGTTGGTTTTTTGTTTTTTTTGTTTTTTTTTTTTCTCTTCCTCTTGGCCTTGAACTTGCTTGCTGGGTCAGGGTGGCTTATCAGCATCCTTCTCTTGTCTCCTGGCTGCTAGGATTACAGACGCGCCCCTCCATGCTCAGCTTACTGATGCTTTATAAACTTGTGTGTGAGTTGCCCAGCTACCCATTTATCTCTCTGGTATTTCTATTTTAGTGGGGGGAGGGCTGAAAAATCAGACCTAAAGGACCTGCTAGTGAGACAAGTTTGAGTCAGGGTGAGACCTCCCTGTAACCAAGGCAATTCCACAAATTTCTTTAGGCCTTGTTGAACCACCCTACCCTTAGCCTACGTGGACACAGGCTCCTCTTCTGTCAAGGATTTCCCAGGCAGGCCAGAAGGCAGACAGGAGGTCTCCAGGGCATTTGTGGATCCAAATGTCAGAATCCAGGTCAGGGAAAGGACACAAATCTCCTGCAGTAGAGTGAGGTCTCCTGGAAGGCAGTGAGTCTGGTCAGATGCTGGAATCCTCTCTTGCTACATTCTGTGGCCTATATGATGACCAGCTACCCACTCTGCTGACTGGAAGCCAGCCAGACCACCATTTGGGGACCATCCAGATTCTTGGCACTGGATCATG